TGATAAAAACTCTCAGCAAAATAGGAATAGAGGGAATACATCTTAATGTAACAAAGGCCATATATAACAAACCCACAGAAAACATCATACTCAATGGGCAAAAACTATAAGCATTTTCCTTAAGATTAGGAACAAGACAGGGATATCTGCTTTCACCACTCTTATTCAACACTACAGGCCCGGTGCATGAAAATTCATGCACTGGAGAGGGGGTCCCTCAGCCCAGCCTGCCCGCTCTCACAGTCCGGGAGCCCTCAGGGGCGGGAGGTGACCCAGAGATCAGGGGAAGGCGACACCCCCATCACACCTCTGCTGCTGCCACTACTGGTAGCACAAGCCTCAGCTGGCCCTGGTTACCTGCACTTTAGGCCGGCCCTGTGCCTCAGGCTGGCCCTGGGTGGCTGGGCAGCTGCCATCCACAGCTTGCCTGAACCTCAGTCAGTGGGGGGTGCAGGAGGACCTGAGGCCCCAGCAGAGCTGAGGGGACTCTGTTGGCAGGCGTGTGGAGCAGCCAGCCCTGCCCCACTGTGGGTGCTGCCATCTGGTGATGGTGTGACAGTTAATTTGCATAATACCTCTTTAATATATAGGACTAGAGGCCTGGTGCATGAAATTCATGCACTCAGGGAGGTCCCTTAGCCTGGCCTGCACCCTCTCACAGTCTGGGAGCCCTCAGAGGATGTCTAATTGAAGGGGGGCAGGCCTACGACATCAGTTGGACATCCTTAGCACTGCCGCAAAGGCAGGAGAGGCTCCCGCCACCACTGCTGCCCTAGCCAGCCGTGAGCCTGGTTTCTGGCTGAGCGGTGTTCCCCCTGTGGGAACACATTGACCACCAGGGGGCAGCTCCTGCATTGAGCATCTGCCCCCTGGTGGTCAGTGCGCATCATAGAGACAGGTTGTTCCACCATTCGGTCAATTTGCATATTGGCTTTTATTATATAGGATAATACTGGAAGTCCTAGCAACAACAATCAGACAAGAATAAAAGATAAAAAGCATTCAAATTGGAAAGAAAGAAGTAAAACTGTCATTATTTGCAGATGACGTTATACTGTATATAGATAACCCTAAAGATTCCACCAAAAAACTACTAGAACTGATAAATGAATTCAGTAAAGTAGCAGGATACAAAATAAATATCCAAATATCAATTGCATTTTTGTACACTAATAATAAATTATTAGAAAGGGAAACTAAGAAAACAATCCCATTCACAATTACATAAAAAATAACAATAAAAAACCCACATAGGAATAAATTAAACCAAGGATGGTAAAAGACCTGTAATTAGAAAATTATAAGACACTAAAGAAAGAAATTGAAGAAGATGCAAATAAGTGGAAGCATAAATACCATGTTCATAAATAGGAAGAATTAACATCATTAAAATACCCATAGTATTCAAAGGAATCTATAGATTCAATGCAACTCCTATCAAGATATCAATGGCATATTTCACAGAACTAGAACCAATACTCCAAAAAATTATTTGGAACTACAAAAGACCCTGACTAGCCACAACAATCTTGAGGAAGAAGAATAAAGTTGGAGGAATCATGCTACCTGCTATTAAACAATACTACAAGGCCACAGTTATCAAAACAGCATGGTACTAGCAGTAAAACTGACATATAGATCAATGGAACAAAATACAGAACCCAGAAATAATCCTATATAATAGAAGGCTAATATGCAAATTGTCCCTTCGACCAGTAGTTCGACTGGGAGTTCAAACAGGGGTGGGGACAGCCAGCCAACTGCCTGGGGCCCCTTCCCCTGGCTGCCCCCACCCCTGATCAGCCACATTCCCGACCCTGATCAGGGGCTGGGCCAGCCCACCAACCACCCACGACTCTTCCCCTGGCCAGCCTGGCCCAATTAGCCCAGATCAGGCAGGCTGGCTGGACCCCACGCATGCACGAATTTGTGCACTGGGCCTCTAGTCAATTAATATTTGACAAAGGAGGCAAAAACATGCAATGGGGTAAAAATAGTCTATTCAATAAATGGTTTTGGGAAAATTGGACAGATACGTGCAAAAAAAAAAAAAGGAAAAGGAAAAAAAAAAAAAAGAAAGAAAGTAGACCACATTCTTACACCATGCACAAGAATACACTCAAGCCTGACTGGCATGGCTCAGTGGTTGAGCATCAACCTATGAACCAGGAGGTCATGTTTTGATTCCCAGACAAGGCACATGCCCAAGTTGCAGGCTTGATTCCCAGTGTGGGATGGGTAGGGGGGGGCATGTAGGAGGCAGATGATCAATGATTCTCATCATTGATGTTTTTATCTCTCTCTCTCCCTCTCCTTTCCTTACTGAAATCAATAAAAATATTTTTAAAAGAATACATTCAAAATGGATTAAAGACATAAATGTTAGACTTGAAACCATAAAAGTCTTAGAAGAAAACGTAGGCAGTGAAATCTCAGACATTTCTTGTAGCAATATTTTTTTCTAATATATTGCCTCAGGCAAGGGAAACAAAAAAAATAAACAAATGGAACTACATAAAAAATAGTTTTGCACAGCAAATGAAACCATCAACAAAATGAAAACACCCCCACTGAATGGGAGAATATATTTGCCAGTGATACATCTGATAAGAGATTAATATCCAAAATTTATAAAGAAATTATACAACTCAACACCAAAAACGAGCAATCTAATTGAAAAATGGACAAAGGACCTGAAGAGAGCCTTCTCCAAAGAAGACATACAGATGGCCAACAGACATTGAAAATATGCACAATATCATTAGTCATCAGAGAAATGCAAATGAAAACCCCATGAGATATCACCTCAAGCCTGTCAGAATATCTATCATCAATAAATCAACAAATAACAAGTGTTGGGTAGGTTGTGGAGTAAAAAAACCCTCGTGCATTGTTGGTGGAAATGCAGATTGGTGCAGCCACTGTGGAAAGCAGTATGCAGTTCCCTCAAAAAATAAAACTGCCTTATAACCCATCTATTTCACTTCTGGGAATATATCAAAAGAAACCCAAAACACTACTTGAAAGAATATATGCACCCCTATATTCATTGCAGAGTTATTTACAATAGCCAAGATTTGGAAGCAGCCCAAATGCCCATCAGTAGATGAGTAATAAAAAAGCTATGGTACATTTACACAATGGAATAGTTTTCACCTGTAAAAAAGAAAGAAATCTTACCTTTTCCACAGCATGAATGGACCTAAAGAATATTATGCTAAGTGAAATAAGCCTGTCAAAGAAAGACAACTATCACATTATTTTACTTTATGTGGAATCTAATGAACAAAATAAACAGGCAAAATAGAAACAGACTCATAAGTACAGAGAATAGACTGGCAGCTGTCAGAAGGGAGAGGGGTGGAAGGCTGGTGAAAAAGGTAAAGGGATTAAGTAAAAAAAAAAAAGGAACAGTAATATCTTAGTGATAGATGTTAAGCACTTGAGGGGTTGCAATGAGCCCAGAATTCAGGATACTGAACTTGGCAGACAGGAAAAGGCGTTATGATAACGTACAAAGGGTAGAATTAGGGGTGGAGGGCAGCATGATATGATTGTTACCCTTTACAAGTGCACAGCACTTTATAGTTTACACAGTGTTTGCTGATCAGTTGTCTCTTTTGAGCTTGCCCAGTACTGTACATTCAGGCATTTCATGAAGCACTGATTCCGTGCTGGTTCTGTGGTAGAGCTCAGGAATATAAAAAGGAAGAGAGACCATTTGATCCTCAAGGGGACCACTCAATATCTGATAAAGGAAAAGGCTTATACACAAATCATTGCAATTGCAAAACAGAAAGGCTCTAGGAGAGGTGCATGCGAATGAAGAGGAGAGAAGAGAGAGGGGATTCCTTTTCCCTGGGGGAAGGAAAGAAGGCATATTTAGGGTAAGGGGGCCCTGCAGGCATTTCACGGGGTCATTCCACATGCACAGCCCTGGCAGCCTAAGAAAGAAAGCATGAGTGTGGGGAAGGGTTTAGGGAACCGACCATGGGGTAGCAAATAGAGGAAAGGCTGTGAAAGGAGCCAGACTAGGACGGGCTTTGAATGCAATGCAAAGAATTTGGACCTCTTGGCAATTAGATCTGTTTTCCAGGTGGGGAAACAGGCTCATAGAAGTTGGGAACTTCGCTGAACCTTCATGCACAGGTAAAGCAATTGCAAGGCTGGTGAACCCTGCATCCTGCTGCTCTTTCTGCTACCCTGTGCTGCCTCCAGCAGGCCTGAGCAGAACCAGGCCCTCCCTGGGAGAGGCCTCTGGGCTGTTTATCCTGCTCAGTGGGGCTGGCTCTGGCAGGGACTGGAAGTGGGTGGGGTGGGGGCCCTGGAAGAGAGGAGGAGCCTGACAACAAGGGCTACATTCAAGGCCTGCACTGGAGCTGGGCGAGGAGAATGGAAAGCTACAGTCTGTCGGAGCGTCCAGCCTTGGCAAGGCCATCGGGGCCTTATAAGGAAATGTTGTTCTCTCCCAGCCAGTGGGGCTGGGACAGAGCCCTGTGCCCACAGGACAGAGCTGCCCTTGTGGTGGTAGGCTGGGGTGCCACCGCCCCTCCGCTGTGAGCAGGAATCTCAATGGGCCACTTCTGCAGGCTCAGCATTCCTTCTCAGCCCCAATGTGCCTGCAGCCCCCACCCCTTGATGCCCTCCGGCTCCCCAATGGCTTGGGATGATTGGAGGAGAGGAAAAACACAAAACAAAACAAAGATTTGGCAAGATTCCAAGCCTTGCTGCTGTCTGATGCCAAATTACCCAGAAAACAGGCTCCAGTCAAATTCTCCCTTTTCCCTGAAGGGTGCAGGAGTAAAGGGATCTCTCTTTGCCACCCTTTCCTACGCTGTACCCTTGTCTTCTGGTGATCATAGAGCTCCCAGCCTGGGCCCTGTGTGCTACAGGCAGGCAGCACATGAGACAGTGGGGAGGAGGAAACCTTGTGCTGGTGTCCGAGGGAGGGGCCACTGGAGCACTCCCAGGAGAAGGACGCCTCTGTTCAGAGGCCTTACCTGTGCCAGGCAGGCCAGAGGAGCTGAGAGGCTCCAGAGTACAGAGGAAAAACACAGCCTGCCCAGAAGGCAGCAGACAGCGCTCCCTGGGAAAGGCCGGGCAGCATTAGTCAGCTCCTGGAAGGAGTGCCCTTCCACAGCGTGCCATGAGTGTGATTTAAAGCACTGATCCCCGAGGGATCTCCCTGAACCTGAGATTGGGGGTAGGAGCAGAAAAGATGCTTAGTGTGGACTTTTTGCTTTGCCTATTCATAGACTCCTAGACGCATAAAACCCTGGAGCTACAAGAAAACAGGTCAGCCAGCCCAGCTCTGCACCTAAAGCAAACTTGGCAGCCAGCAGCCAGCTCGTGCTCTCCCAGTGACCATGAACTCTGTCCCTCACTTCAGTCCTTCCAATACCCACAGGTGACCCCCTGTGTGTCAGCCATTGTGAACTATCCTGAGGGTGCCATCCAGAGCAAAGCTATGAGAAGCACAAATGAACAAAATATGAAGGAGAAAGTTGTGAACCCCAAGAAAATCACAGAGGAAATGCTCTAAGAGATGAGATAGAGAAATTCCTCTTGACTAGGTGTGCAGAGCAAAGGACAAGTGATGGTGTTGTTAAAAAGATGACATTGGGGTGAAAAAAGCCAAGAGTTCAAAAATGACATTTTGAGAGCTTGGAAAATGGGGAACTGCTTCTGGGGGGGAGGGACTGGCATGAGCAGGGGCAGAAAGCAGCATGGGGCTTGCTTGGTCCCTACTCATGGCTAGATATGCACAGTTGGGAAAGAGGAAGACGGGGTTGGACATGGGTTAGCACTGGATTTTGGAAGCACTGAATGCCAGAGAGAAGAGGAGATTTAAGTAAAAGAGAGCTAGAGCCACTGTAAGGTTTTGCGTGTCCGAGAGAGATGATCACTGCTGTGATCTGGTAGCAGGTGCAGGAAGAATTAAAAAAAGAGGCATCCTTCCTCCATGTCAGTGACATTAAGAAAGTGTTCCTTCCCTAAGGAGCTCTGGTGGGTTCTACCCTGCTTCCCAGGGTCTATAAGCCTAGCTCTCCACATGGCCACCTTGACCCCAGGATTTCAGTGCCACTGGGTCTTGGAGATGCTTTTTGAACAACCAGCGACTGTCCCTTAAGAATTTGAATAACCAGCAACTGTCCCTTAGGAAATGATCAAGATTGGGTGCTTTTCTTTGCACCTCGAGGCTTTTTGTACACAATTCATTCTGTTCAGATGGGCTAAAGAAACCCAATCTTCAGCCTTTTTAGCAGAAGGTTATCAAAAAGCACCCGGGGTTGAAAGGCAAAGACAGAGTGATGCCATCTCATTTGAGGGAGCCTGTCCTTTGTTAGGCATCCACGGTTCACACACCTGCGCTTGCCCCTTGCTGTTAACAGACCCATGACCTCCTCCTTGGTTTTTTCCTCTACAGCTTCCTTCCCCTTTTTCCAAAGCTTGCTCCCATTGTGGTACCACCATGCCAGGGGCACGAGGCCTTTGCAGAGTGCCTTGGCAGGAGCGCAGGAACACCCAAGGCGCTCTCCGGCATAGCAGGTGTTCTGGTCCTGTTTCCCATCAGTCAGGCTAAACTTGGTCCACTGCCCAGCATGGCTGTCTCTGCAGCAAGATCCTGAGGGACTTGAGCTTGATCCTCACCCGGTTCCTGCCTCATGGCCATGAGGGAGGAACCCGAGGAGCCTCCCACCAACTTTTTCTTCCTCCACAGTGCAAACCCTGACCCTTCAAGCCACAAAGGTACAATCTTGGGCATGGAGGAACTGGTGGCTCCCTTGCCCCTCCAATAGTTAGGATTCATTTTGGATTTGGAGGAGATAAAAATGAATTTCTTTATTTTCTTTTAAGGCATATGTGAGCATGTTTATGGTGAGACATTATCTCAGTCTGAAGAGTGAATTTCAAATAGCAAACTCATGATGGCTGGGGTCCTGTTCTGTGAAGCAGGAGTTGTCTTGGTGCCCCTTAATTTTTACCACCACCTAATTGTCTACTAGCCTCAGTCTCCAATTCAGAGAAATATTATTAGCAAATCTCTGCAGATTTTCAATGTATTTAATTTTACATAACTGTTCAGTCATTATTCACCCATTTATTTGGTTTGGTAATGAGTGGTTCAAAAAAAAATAGAAAAGTAGAAAGGGAAAGAAGTAAAAATCTTCCTCTTCCTCTTTCCCCATTTATCCTGTTGTCCTCCCCAAAACAGCCTCTGCTCCCATTTTCTTGTGGATCCTTCTCAGTGATGCTTTTATGGAAATAATTACTAAGGGCTTTCCTCATCTAGTAGACATAGCTCATTCAGAAGAATGAAAATGTGTTCAGACAAAATTCTCCAGGTCAGTTGCTCTCCCAGGTTCGCCTACTCAGGATGCTGAAACCTGATTCCAGATGTCAGGTAGCACTCACCTGATCCAGGTGTCTATGGAGCAATCCCTTTTGTCCTTTAGCCCAGCCCTTTATGCCGACATGCTGAGGACACCTGAACACCCTCTCCAGAATGAGATTTCAATGCCATCCTCTGCATGGCTGTGTAGAAAATGAATTTTGCTGAGACTCTACTGTGAGCTCTAGTGCCAAATTAGGAAGGATCTGGGTATCTGGCATCCACGTGGGTAGGACTAAGGGAAGAGTCCCTGTGGTGTTAGCATCCTTTGCTCTGGGCTATATTCCTCTGGTTCTTCATGGCCTTATCTGCCCTGAAGTGCCCACCACTTGTTCTAGACCTCTAGCTACTGATCACAGAGAAATTATAGCTTGTGCTTGCTCACCCTGGGACCTGGGTCCCACTGGCCCTGATGCTCACTGCTCCCACTGGAGCACTGTCTTGTACACCGAGGTTGCTGTGGCTGCTTTTTTTCAGTGAGGATCAGGATTCATCAGTCCTGGCAGCTCTGGACTCTGCATGCTGACTGCTGGGAAGGGTTTTAAAGTCTTTGGGTGGGAAGAATCTCTTCCTGATCAGAGTCCAAACTGAAAATGAATCCTCCATTTGCAATCACAGTGATATCTCCAGTGCAGTGTCATTAAACGTCTCCCAAACCACAGCAGTCTGGGACTTCTAGTCCAATGTCATGTGAGGTTTCCTTACAGAAAGATCTACATGGTAAGGGAGGTAGGAACAAGTCAGCACAAACAGAACTATAAATATCTTTATAGAGACAGATGCATGAAATCTAACTGGGTGGGGGAAACAGATGTAGATGAACAGCTGGATAAGACTACAGGTTTAAACCTATTGAAATACTAGGAAGGTGATATAAAAGATAATATTGAAGAAAAAGTTTCTCATGGTTCTTTTATCTTTTGCAGCATTTTTTATTTTTTCGTAGGCCCTTCAATCTTCTTGTTCATATACAAAGCACATTTTAACATAGCTGCAATCTTGTCACAAATGCAATTCACAGTTCTTGCTTAATATTGTAAGCACTTGCCATATTGCTCCAATCTTTATTTTATGGCTGCAGAAATGTCATTTTGGTGATTCACAAGATAATTGCAACCTATTGTTGCAAGTTTATGTCTCCAGCTGCTTAGTGTTATGGATAATTTTGTAAGGAACATCTCTGGATGTTTAGCTTTGTGATTCTGTTGATTTCCTTAGGATCAAATTCAAGAAGGGAGATGAGTTGGTCAAGGGGTGCAGAGCCCCTTATGAGGAGCAGCATTCCCTCTGGTACAAAGCTACATGTGTCTAAGCCTAATACTGATCTTGTTAGCTTGGTGCTCTAAGTCAGTAAATAGCACGTCACCTGGCAACTGAGCAGAAGAGCCGAGGTTTTATTAGGCCCCGAGGGAGACCTGTTACTCTACAAGTTTTCTACTTTGCAGCAGAATATTCATGGGTGCCTTTCTCAGGTCTTCCTCTGAGCAAAGGTTGTTCATTTGCGGCTGCCATATAAAGGCCTCTGGACCAACAGTCAAAAGGAGCAACAGTGAACCAGTGAGGAGATCCCAGTTCTTCTACTGTGGCTGCAAGGGTGAGGGTTGCATGGGGTAAAGGCGTGCAAGTCACTGTATTCTTGCTGTGAGAACACTGTGACTCTCATCAGTGGCACAACCCTTGTGGCACATGTCCAGTTATGTGAAACCCAGATGTCAGTCGAGGCTCTTGGAGATCTGATTAAAGTTGACCCACGCCCCAATGCCAAGCCTTGTGAGAGCCTTGAATCCACAGTCCAGTTTCCATGAATGTGTGGGTCATCACGCCTCACTCAGCCTCATGCCCTTTTGTCTCAGTGTGCTGCCTGGTTCTGCCCCACATCAATTCAAGGAGCAAAGCTCCATTCCTTCCTCAGTTGTCACAGAAATTCACCTGCATCCAAGCTTCTGTGAGTTTGGTAACTTTACTGAAGATGGAGGGTCTCAAGGAGGAATCTCACCATAGACTGGGCAGCCTTTGGTTTGTTTCACTTTAATATGGTTCATTTTATGTTATGTGGCTTTCGCTTCAATTTTTTAAAAAGAAAAGTCAATCCAACAAACACCACCAGGTGTGGATTTACTCTCCCTGCCCTTGCTCTATCCATCCTCTCCTGGCTGTGGGCCATGATGCTCCCTCACTGTACCCAGAATGAAAATGTGCAGGCTCAGTTCTCAATTCTGTCCTGTACTAGCTGTGTGGCCTTATGTGCTTTATGCCTCTCTCTGGACCTCAACTTCCAAATCTGCAAGATGAAGCGATTGTTTCAGATTTTATCTAAATTCCCTCCTGGGTTGGCCCTCAGGGATCCTGAGGGCAGAAAGGGGATGAAATTCAATGAGAAAAAGGAGGCATTCTCTGTTTCCTTTGAACCTTTCTCTTCTGGGCTAGTGTGTGGCAGTGGCTTTTAATTTCCTCTGTCTCCAGGCATGAGGGAAACAGTAACCCAGAAACAGCTTTGGCTCTTGACCTGGCTGGCACCGCTGGGCTCCCACCGTGCTTCACTGAGCAACGTGAGCCCCTTGGTAATTCTGTTAAGCAGCCAGGGCAGTGAGTCATTCAATACCACCCAAACACCTCCCTACCGTGTCCTGGCCAGGAGTTGAGCCCAAGCACTGAGACTTGACCTGCAGCAACATTCTAAACATAAACTGGAGCTTTCAACTGGGTTGTGACTTGGAGACC